TTTCTTGAGTTCAGCAGTCTTCTGCTATAAACTGGAAAGCTGAAAGATGCTTATATGGCTTTCACAGGACTGCTATACCTGCTATGCTATGTTACAAAAGGAAATGTCAAATGGCTTGTGTAAACAAGTTGTAAAATCCCTTGTGTCAGGAGTATGAGACTTTAAATAGCTATAGATTTAAAAAGTTTTAAGAAGAAACAACACCCATAGATGTTTTCTTCATAACTGTATGATAAGCATCCTTTCGCCAAAGTTGGTAGCATAGTAGAAAAGACATACCCTGAGTATGTTGGGTTGTTTTATCACTGAAATGCTGTCTCCTAGCCATAATCAAGGAAGGAAGCTGCAGAACTAGATGAACAGGTACATATTAAATGCATGTAATGAGACTGTTGCTTAGTCTCTGAATATATACTGATTATATTGGAAGTCAATAGCTAAGCTTGATTTGAAAATTAGGGAAGAGGAGAAGGCATAGCCAACAATTTTCCCTAGAAAATTGTATAGAAATTCTTGACATTTAGCATGATTTTATACATTCTTTGGGTTTCTATAGATTATATCTAAAAAATATTTTAGTGAGCTCAATGGATAAATTATCTCTGTTAAGGGGAGTGAGTAGTGGTCAGAGAGAGAGCATGGTGGAAAGATCACAGAATCATAGAATGTTGTGAGTTGGAAGGGACCCACAAGGATCATCAGTCCAACTCTTGCCCTAGCATAGGGCAATTCCAAGAGTCAGACCATGTGTCTGAGGGCGTTGTCCAAATGCTTCTGGAATATTGTCAGGCTTGGTGCCATATATCCCACAGCACAAATTCTCCAGTTTTCTGAAGATACACCATTGTTCTTTGTGAATTTGGAGATGATGGAGAACACAGACCCACAACAGGCAAGAGAATCACCACGTATTTTCTTTCAGCTTAATGGCAATATTACAACAAAGGGCTTTGGTGTATCTCCAAGAGCCTTACTGAAGGCATCTTTGCGTTACAAGCAATCAAAAATATAAGGAATCTCTGCAAAGAAGGAGTAACTCTGTTAGCTTCTGCAACTTCAAAAGTACTTCCTGAGAGAAAAAGAGTTTATTCTTTGTGTAGTTCACCATGACATCAACACACCAAATTGAAAAGAACATTAACAGTTCTGTGTTTCAATCCTTTCAATGATTAAGCTCAGATCACCTAAACCATTTTGCTTCATAATAACAAAATATCATCCTGCAGGTGCACACATTCATGCCCTGACCCCTTTTTTCAGACCCATGCTCTTCTTTGATTTTCTTTCTTCTCCCCACATCTTCTACCCTGGCAAAGTGCTGTCCCTCAACTGACATGGCTACAATTTTTGCTTCACATTCTTCTTTATCTTCCTTACTGAAACTCAGACTCTTCTGAGCCACTCCTAAAAGAAGACAAGCTAAAGACCTCCCCCCAGGCTTTTAGTGAAAAGAACCTCTTGCTAAGCTGTGACCCTCTCCCTCCTAACAGTGCCTTGCCAGCAGTATTAATTCAAAAAGCTAAAACTCAGAGTCATCAAGCTAGTGAGGTTAAGTTTTATCTATGTTTTAACTCACTTCTTCCTTGCAAGGCAGCTCCCTTCACCTCTAAAAATTAAAGCCAACCTTTTTCCAAGCCTTAACCAGTGCAGACAGCAAAGTAATTTGATTAAGAGCCATATAATGCATATTTTTCTGTAGATAATTGGTAGCTTAAGTGAAGATGCACTGCATGTGACTTTGACACTTCATGGACAGATAACCTGCAAACATATATTTCACCGCCTGCATATCACTCACCGAAGCCACAAAGAAACTAAACACTGAGAACTGAATTGATAGGAATGTTTCTGCATTGCAAGGAGCAGAAGAGGATAGCAAGTATTTCTGGAGATAACATTTCCTGGAATGCCAAGATTTAGAATTTTCTTTGGATTTTGATGGATGGAGCCTAAATGCTACCAACTAAGCTAAACCTGAAACAGGATTTTCTTTGGTTGGCTGCAATATAGTAGAGAACTAAAGGTTCTCCACTCTTTAGATACTGAAAAAATACAAAAAAATGAATAAAAAGTTAAAATGAATGAGTCTGCATCAAAGTATTTTATTCTAATATTTTATGACTATTAAGTCCTCATATGTTACATGGAAAAAGCAGTATCCGTCCTTTTGACACAGGTAGGAGTTTGAAATGAAGAAGTGCTGAGTCTTCAATTAAAAACTCCTTTACTTAGTTCCAACTCACATTGTTAACATGTCTAGGAATTCGTCTTGCAAATACTACCTCCAAAATAGATAAATCCAAATAATTTCACAGAGTTGTGAAACAGTGGTGATATTACAGATTTCTGATTTATCACAACTGTTAGCCATGGTTAAGGGCTGAGAAAATAAGCACAGTGTGGAGGTTTAGTAATAGGATTTTCATTGTGATGCATGATTAGATGCTTAGATACTGGAGATCAAATTAATCTAGCAGCAATGATACCAAAACAGCCACAGCTTGGATGAGTCTGACCTTTGAAGTTAAACATTAGCTAACAGTTGGACTGGTATTTCTGGTATGTTCCACAACATGGATTAAATATTTGATTTAAGCATTAAAATGTCTGTATCCTTCACTTAAGAAAACACATACTAAATTATGGGAGTACATACAGAATTAAATCGTGTTTAAGTTGGTGTGCCTACATTTACACTATATAGGTCCTTAGGAACAGCCATAAACTGTCAGACCAAAAATCCATCTAGTCAAGCAGTCATTTCCTTGTGCAGCTGTAAGAAGGTGTGTAGGAGAGATTTCGAATAGGACAAGAACATGTGATACTTACTGCTATCACTTTCTTTGCCTCCAACTATTTTCAGCACAGGGCCTCCCGTAGCCAGTTGTGGTGCCTGTGTACATGATAAACGCAGTGGACTCCTCCTCACTTGAACGTATCCAGTCCTGCCTCAAATTTGTGAATACTTTTCACACCCCCAACATCCTTTGCTAAGGATCAAGTGATCTCTTTTTATTTGAGATGTCTTTCTCTTATTCTTGCAAGAAGCAACGAAAAACTGATCTTTACCCACCATCTCCATGTTATTTGTGCTGTTACAGATCACCACCATATCCTGCCTCAACCACCTCTCTTCCCACCTAGAGTCCTACCTTATCTAGTCCCACCTTACTCGAAGGGAAGCCCTTCCATATCTCATCATCCTTGTTGCTCTTCTCTGAATTCCAGTCCTGTGGTACCCTTTCTGAAATGGGATCTGAACCGCACACAACAGGCAAGCGGCAGCAAACAAGTGACTTATGCAGTAGCTCAACAGCACCGTCTCTTTTTTCCCATCATTTTTCTATTACTCCTTAACAATTTAATTACTTTTTGACTGCTGTTAAGCAATGAGCCGATGTTTTGTGATGTCTATTACAAGCTAAAGATCTCACTCCTGGAAAGGATCCAGTGGTAATGTCTGGCCCAGAGTCCACCTTTTCTTATGCATAGATTTTTCTCCCATGTGTATATACAACTTTCTGTTTTCTTCCTTTTCCCATGGACAGCAAAGTCCAGGTCATTTATGAACCATCACAGTTTCTACAGATTCGCTGACAGGAGACTAAACTTCGAAGAAAAAAAGTGGACTCTCTTTCTGTAAGAGAAATGTGGAAAGTAGGCTACAAACTATTCTGTCAAGATGCAGTTTTGTGTTTGGTTTTTTTTGTTTTTTTTTTAATTTAGTATTAGTTAAAGAACACTCACACTTGAATTTTCAGCAGTTTTAATTGAGCTTAAAACATAATTGTTTTGACACACCAAGAGACATTAGATCAAAATTTTAACCAAAGGTGGCAGGTCCTATTGAAGGCAGCAGCAGAGCACGCACTGGACAGAATTTGGTCCTTAGCATGTGAAAAAGATTGGTCCATGTCCCGAATGCATATCTCCAGCATCTCAGAAAACATGGAAAGATACCTACAGTTTTGGCAAAACGTACCAGATAACCAGGCAAATAATAGTATAGTCAAATCAGACAAACTTTCCAACATCTTATAATTTGTGTTGAGAAATTACATTCTGCATCATTGCTTGTATCATTGTTTAATAATATGCCAGGAGAACCCAGATGCTCCTGGTAAGATGCAACCTTGCTCTGAAACCAAAGGGCTAGTAGCTGGGAATCCAAGAGTTCCCTCTAAATATGCTCCCAACCATTTGAGGTGGAGCACAGCTGGGATGGAAACTTGCTCCATTGTCACAAGCATGCATGGAGGTGCTACTTTACTTTGCCAGGGTAAATGAAGGTGGGTAGAACAACCAACAAAGCTATGCTAGTTGCTGTGCAAAGGCACAGTGAGAGATGGTGTATAGTCCCCAAAACTTAGAGGCTAAGGCTGGAGCAGATGTAGCTTCATATGGATCAACAGGAGGTTTTACTGGCAAATCACATAGTTCAGAAGGATATGTGCTGCATCAAGCAGTGCTTCTGCCCTTAGAGCACCCTTTCTTTCTTTCCCTTTGCCCAGTATATCCCACACTCAGTTTAAAGGGAAGGTTATTACAACTCCTACTTAGTAATTTAGGTGTAAAACAAAGCACTTGTCTTTAGCCCTTCTCAGACTGCCTCACTCAGGGGAGAACAGGGTCATTTGTCACCCCTATCTGTTGGGAAGCTAATAAAGAGAAAGGAGAAAGGAGCAGGAGAAGTCCTGCCCTTACCTTCACGCTGGGCAGGCTGAGGAAATGCCTGGATAGAGAAGAGGGTGTCTAAGCTGTCCCAAAAGCAGATGAAATCATTTAGAGCAAAAGAGGAGTGAAAGAAGAATCTGAAACATAAGTCACAACCCATTCTTCTGAATCGGTGTAGCTGTGCTTCCCCTCTAATGCAGGGCAACCCGCAGAACTGCAATATGATTGAGTAGGTGAGACAGATGAGTGGGAAAAGTGGGAAGTGATATTAACTATTGAGTGGTCTGTAGTGTAATAAAAAAATTGTTTTTCCTCAGTAGGTAAAGCCAAATTATATAATTCACTGAGTAAAAGGAGGAGACACTTGGCAGCTTGGCACCAGTACTAATGAAGCCAATAGCCTTCTCCGCTTTCTCCTTTTGGCTGGCTCTCATTTTGGCTGGCTTCCTTGGCATACACATCACTGGCAGTTCTGTGAGAAGTCAGAAGAACCATACGCTGATTTTCACCAAGGAAAACACAATTCGCAACTGCAGCTGCTCGGCAGATATCTGTGATTGTGATTACTGCCTGGCAAACTTGATGTGCAATTGCAAAACAGTGCTGCCTTCTACCATGGAAATAACTACCTACAATAGCCACCTGACCATTTGGTTCACAGATATCTCTGTGCTGGAGATGCTCCTCAACTTCACAAGGGTGTGGGATTTGAAGCTGTCTTTCTGTGGCACCACTCCTCTTCCAACAGAATACTTGGCCATTTGGGGACTTCGAAAGCTCCGGGTAAACAAGGTCAAGGGACAATTTCCAGAGCAGAGTGTAACCATCTACAGCAGCAGCAACAATGAAAAAGAATATTCACTTGTGGTGCACAGAGACAAGCAAATGCTCGTACATGTTTCTTTTCTGGATACCTCGCTTTTCAATGGATATTCTTTGCTGAAGTCGTACAGTGTGGAAAACATCTCTAGTATCACAAAGCACTTTCCCAGCCTGCTGTACTCTGATTCAGTCTTCTCAGCCTCAGATAACAAGAGCTATGTTGTAACGTTCATTTACTGAGTTATTTAATGAATTCAGTAGTCAGAGGCATGGCAAATTGGTAAGAGAGAGATGGGATTTTTTAAAGTCCGTCTGGTTTGTTGGGATGGTCAGTTCTGACTGTGATAGCAACTTACAAGGAAGTGTTCAATAAAGATAAACTCCTCAGACTAATTCAGTAAATGCTTTCTTAAAGAACAAAGAAAATTTGAAATTACTGTTTTAGAAAGCATCAGTACCAATGCTTTCTATATATTGTAAGCTAAGAACTGAAATCTGCAGATAAATTTTGTTTTAAGGTTGTGCCTCAGACAGAAAAAGACATAGCCGTGCACCTCCAGTTGTAGAAGAACCTGAGCCTCCTGGAGAAGAGTTAATGGGGTTAGATGGCAGCTCAATAGGTCTCCAGTCCAACCCCCTGTCCCAAGCAGGGTCAGCTCTGGGATCAGACCAGACACCTCAGGGTTGTCTGCAGTCAGGTCCCAAAAACTCCTAAGGACAGAACCTGCACAACCTCACTGGGCAAACTGCTCCACTGCCTGCCTGTCCTCACAGGGAAACATTTCCCATGTGTTAAACCCAGTCTTACCTTCTCCAGGCTGAGCAAGCCCAGTTCCCTCACACTTTTCTCACAGTCACATGCACCAGCCCCTGACCATCATGGTGGCTCTCCACTGGATCACTTCAGTTGATCCATATCCTTGTTGCACTGAGAGGGGGGCAAAACTGCACGTAGTACTCTGTATGGAGTCTAGTAGTGGCAGGACAAGGGGAATAATCCCTTCCCTCCATCTCTGGCTGTTCCCCTGTCAATACAGCCCGCTGCTGTCATGTTCAGGGGACATGAGGCAGTTACAGGTTACTCAGACTGGGAGTGTGGAGTTGTCCTTCCCCTCTGGTACTCAGTCAATGCTGGGAACCCTCTGCTTGGGCTGCGTGACACAGCTTCTTGCGGAAGCAGGGACGGGCTTCACAGGCAGCCTTCAACTTCAGCGCACAACTGAAGGTGTGTTTGGGGGATGACCAGGAAGCTGTGTTCTCTGCCAAGCACGGCACACATCATGACAGGCAAGACACCACACTCACAGAGGTGTTTTTTTCAGGGAAAAGCCTGTCTCTTGCACATTGAGTGTGCCAACACCTCCAATTTCTCCGAATGCAGGGAACCTGACTTCATCTTTTGTGATAATGGCAAGCTCAGTTCTCCCTTAGAAGAAAGACCCCATCCAACAACTCTCATCTGATAAGTGAGGTGAGGCTTCTGGCAGACATGTAGCAAACAATTTTCAGATGCATTGCAGGAGAAAGATTGCCATCCCCTGAAAAACATAACGTCGGGACTATTTATATAGCCCAAAGTGCGCTCCTTGCCCATGGCTGCAGGATTTGCAGTCTATGAGATACAACTAAGGCCAGGATCCATCCATATAGTACAATAAGGGCTTCAGAATAGCAAGTCCTAACAGTCTTGCATTGCCAGCAAAGGACTACATGGAATAAAATGTGTGTACCGAGGGGAAAGGCTATCAAGATTCTGAGTAACCAATAAATTTGCTCTAACAACTTTAAAGAAAGACTTTTTCTATAACTAATCAATGATGGAGCATTTTTGCTATGAAAGAGAACTTAATTTTTCAGAATACTTAAATACATGCACACCTTTCATTACTGTGAGCTTTCCCACTGAATTCAACAATGCAGTAACTATTGAATTATTGGGGTCTGTTTGCAATTGAAAATTAATAGATTTAAGCACACGGGTGTTTGAAGGCTGGGGACTGAACGTGATTTAACTCAACCAGAGAACTATTAAATCGGCTGTTGTAAAGACGTTCTCTCCTTTATCAGCACCTTAGCAACAAACTCTGTAAGCCTTCTCCGTAAAATCTTCCTAGTGATAGCTCTCATGATTGTGTCACAGGTTACAAAACAGGAGTTGCAGCTGAGCTGACAGAGACTGGCAGCAGAGGGAGGGATGTTCAGAGCATGTTACACGCCTGGAGTGTATTACAGACACGGGTAAATAACCCATATAGTCTGCCCAGGAATCCCATGCTTCGACTGTCTGTGCAAGAGGATTTACCTTGCCTTCACCAACTGCCTAGTCACTAATCCTGTACAGGATAGTGTTGCAAAAACAAAACAAAACAAAACAAAAGCTGGCACATACAAATATATTGATTTCTAAATGTTACCAACCCTCTCTTTAAAATCTGGGAAAATCAAACTTAAAAGAGCTTCAGTGAATTCACTACCTGAGGCTCTGCTGCCCTCCAGTAACAAATGTGCTGCATAACACAGTGCTCCCACGTGGCCATGACAGCGGCGGGCGGCTGGTGCTGCTGTTCAAAACTCACACATCCAGCACGAACTGAGAATGGAAGTGTTGTGGCCTTGGTGGGAAGCAACTGTGAGATAAATAAATGCATGGGCTTTCTAACACTGCAAATTACAGTCTCAGTTACTTTTGCCACTGTAGTGTTCTGAATAAGGCTGACATAAAAGACCTTTTATTCCTGTGCCCCAGCAAGCACTGCAGAGATTTTCCTGGAATAGGGAAAAAATCCTCCTCTCAATTATATGCAGCAGAAAGCCACAGCACAAATATTGTAGAGATCTTTTCAACTCCCCTGTTCTTCTCCAACAGATATCAAGAACCTGATTGTCCCAATTTAAATTTTATATAGCTTTGTCATATGAAAGTACTGCATTGGAAGTTTGCAGAATTTCTTCAGAGCAATGCATACAGAACATACACCACATACACTGAGTTTCATTATTTGTGTGGGAGTAGGTTTCTTTAGTCTGCATGTAAACTTCCCATAGAGGTAGAAATAATGATGTGATTTTGTGAATCTGTTTTAAATTCCAGTGTAAGATACTCACACTTAACCCCACTCAGCACTTTATGGCATTTGATCATGTATTTATAGCAATTAATATTTGTATACACAATGGTGTCATTCTCCATGTATCAGGTTCAACCTCTATGTACTCAGCAGCCTTTAACCTCAAGGAATGATTACTGAATATGCCAATCAACGGAAAGAGAGTTGATTCTTTTGTATCAGAAAAAAGGAATAGATAGATAGGAGCTGTAAACTTTTCTTTCCCCCTGGTGTGACTTTGGGCAGTCAATACAGATTGAGAACAGCACAGAAGTAATGAGATGCTTTCTGCAGATGTCCTGTTTTTCAGCTGGGACAGAGCTAGGT